ATGGTACTTCCAGTTTTTCCCAACTATTCTTGGATGGCTTTTATTAGACCTGGGAACAGGCTATTCTGAACATCACAGGTCTGGGAGTTCTATACAGATTTTTGACCATCTATCATCATGATTGTACACGCTTCCTGTGCAGTTAGACTAATCCTCCAGGGGAGACACCAATCAGCAGTTTTGAGTATAACAGATTCCAGTAGTTCTCCTTTCCAAGCCTGCAATTGCAATTAGATTGAAGTCATGGACCTTTGCAACATTGGAAAAAGTATGATTTCAAGAGGTGAATTCACGTAGACTCAACAACTCTATCTGACAGCTGTATCCTCTTAACGGCTAACAAAGTCTACCTTTTAGTTATAAGTTCATAGACGACTCGTGACAAATGTAAGTTCATCATGAACAAAGCCTTTTTAAACTTTATAACTCAATGAATAGTAAGAGCACAGGGGAAATATATTCATTAAGAGAAAACAGAAACTTCCACGATAACAAATCTTGTGGTTGTGGTGTTTAGTGATGGAGACTCGAACTCGCGATCCTCAGGTTGTGAGTCGAGCACCCTATACACCAGGCCATATGCCAGGCCTAATGTTTAATCTTAAATGCTATGCAGGATTAAACTGTCCCCCTCCCTGATGTTTGACCGAGTTTAGCTAAAAAGTCTGGAAACAAGGCAAAACAGAATAAAAATAGTAAAATTCGCGTCTTTTATGAAAGACAGTGTCTTTCCTGAAGTTCCCAGATATTTCTGTGAAGACGAAGAAAGTATGTAAAACTTCCAGAGAAAAATCTGTCTGAGAGTTAGAAAACATACCATTATACAAGTAAAACAATAATGTTATTATTCTTAAAGTTCATGCACTGCCTACGTCATTGCTGATCATTCTAATAGAAAAATAAGGAAAATTGTGTCTTCAGGGAATCATCTGATCTGCCTGTGGAAAAGATCGCTATCTACTTTTATGTAATACGTTGTGCTTTATCTAAATATTTCTCATAAGAAAGCATACATGATACCACAAGTGAATGACCCAGAACAATTGGTAGCTAGAATGAATGGAACTTAGTTACTTCCTTAACCACCGTTCTTTAGCTAAAATTGCATGCATTTAGAGGTATGAAAACTTGAGAACTAGATACTACATTAATAGATATTAGTGCTTGTGTTCCATAAAATAAACCAGTTTGTACAGATTTCTGTATTACTTGTTTGAATAGATTAAAAAACAAATGATACAATGTGGAACCTTTTTCGTATAAAAGGATTAGTACACGTTTACAGCCATGCAAATTCTTGTCAACATAGTTGTGATAAGCTATCTTCAGAAACTGCATGCAAACTTTGAAATATTTCTGAGATACATGAATAAAGATATATGGTGCAATAATTATGGAAGGTTGAAATTAGTAGTTATTACAGCTATGATAATCTTAATTAATTTTTCCTTAAGAGCAGAATTGGTTGTGATTATCACCTGAAGTGAAAGTGGATAAGGGTTTTTTTTTCTGCCATTTAAAACGGCTTGATCAAAATATTTTCACATCAATTTCAACATTTATTTGTGCTTCCAGCTTATAACACGATGTAACTGCATTTTTTATTATCCATTCTTACTACACAATTTAAATGTTCTAAATAATTAAGGTTTTGGATAGGTTTACTTTTCATTTTAGAAACTTCAATATCAGACCAAACAATTAAGAAAACATTCAAACCTAACTTCACGTTTGGCAGCATTGTATTTCTATAATTTAAAGTTTTTGAAACTACATGGATATTAGTTGTGGCATGAAAAAGTGTACGTAGTACTTCTTATCTTCTATGGTTAGTAAGATGAAAATTTCAAGTTCACGTAAAAATTTTAAACTTTTTGCAAGTACACTTTTCTAGCTGTGTGTGTGGTTTTAACAAAAAGAATGTGTATCAAGGAATGTGACAAGCTCATTTCCCTCTAGCTACATATTGTTATTTGTTATCCCTCCTCCTGAGGTATCACTATAGCTTTCTCGTAAGACAGATTACTGTAAAATAGAACACACTTAATAATTAGTGGGCAAACAACGATTTATAAGCGTCATGAAGTGATTTATTTCTGGGGGAACATACTACATGTTTCGACAGAACATTGGCCCAAAGACAGCAGACCATTATTCTTTCCAAACATATAATATGTTGTCAAAACAAATTAATCACTTCATTATACTTATAAACCGTTATTTGCCACCTTATTATAATATAAACATAATGTTCTTCCTTACTCAAGTAGAACACACTTTGTAAAGGTGGACAGTGATCTTTTACACTGGTGTATCATATGACAATTTGAGGATGTATCTTATTTTATTTTTCTATGGGAATGACCATCAGTGTTGAATATAACACATGCGCATTGAGAAGGACGATATTATTGAATCTTTTATATAATGTGTTAAGTATTGGGAATTTGAAATTGTCCGAAGCTGTGTTAAATAATTTAGATTTAATAGTTGAATTGTATTCTGGATTTAGTATATTGAAATATGCCGATATTTTAGTTAATTTACGCTATTTGCCAACAAGATTGATACACATCATTTTCGTTTTTCACACAAATATGTCTTAATATATATACAACAGTATAATTTACAATAACAGTTATTATGACTAGTTACTACAAAGTTTTATAAACAACAATTTCATTAACTTACAAACAATATACAAATCTTCCTTCTAGATTGGAATTCCCTTGATATCTAGCGAGGTAACTTCAAGTCGATGTACGTACGATTGCCGGGAAGCTAGCTAGTTTTGTCTCATTGGTCACAACACTGAATTGTTAGTTCGTTGAAGTAAGGTAATGTTTTCATAAAACTAATTAGGTCCGATGAGAATCCAATAATATTTTCGAAAAGATACTAACGTCCGATGAGGATCCACTGATGCTCGAAATTTATAACTGTTCCTGGTCAAATGTCTTAATTTTTTCGATTGCCGAGTGTTATAAAAAGCTTTCGGAGTTTTTAGGACATTGGACGATTAGTAGGCTCTTTCTCTTTTTGCGCGTCGCGTTGACTGTTTTTATAGGCGCGAGAAATGTGTTCTCGAAAATTCCGACAACAATACTGAGCTATATTTAACTGGATACGGAGGTGGATATATTGTCGATTCTTATGTTCACGAATATTCTACTACTTTGGAGAATTGGCTGGAGTCTCGCAATACGTATCCAACACTGTAAGCTTGTTGTTTGTTTGTTATGGATTTTGCACAAAGCTACACGAGGGCTATCTATGTTAGCCATCTCTAATTTAGCAGTGTAAGACTAGGGGGTCATCACCACCTACCGCCAACTCTTGGGCTACTCTTTTACCAACAAATAGTGGGATTGACCATCACATTATAACGCCCC